CCTGGGGAATGACATTGTTTTATGGATGCGGTGGCGAGTGCAAGTCGAACTGCAGGTGAACGGCGTGCGTATAGGCCAGGTGAGGGTCGAAATCAATTAGTTTCGGGCCAAGCAGCTGCACAAATTGCAGGCGACAACAGGCCAGGCCTATGGCCCCGATAAATCCAATACTCGCAGAAGGACCTACAAGGATGCGAGACAAATTGAACGAAGCTCTGGTCAGGCTTTGTGGCTGCGTCTGTCAAAGGCGCTAGCCCTGGCCCATATTTCCGAGTCGCTGGACATATTACCAGTAAGACTAGCTTTACACTGAAGGAAATGAGAAAAGGCACAGTTTACTTTGGTAAAGCTGAGTCTCTGATTTTTCTCTGTGTAATCTCCCTTACCGTCGGCCTCCGTAGGCTGGGCAAACATTTGCGCACACACTCTTGGAACTCGGTCCCATTTCGAGTGTGCTCATATCATACACCTTCTTTTGCCTTTTTTTTTTATTACATGTGTACTTTTGTGATTACATGAATATTTTAAAAGCGCGCACTCGCACAAAGGTAAAAAAAAAAGCGAGGATGGGGTAAGGGCTACCACGGGGAGGATCTCGAACACACATTTAAGGGATGGGAAACTGACATGAGAACTACATTAAAATAATTTATTTTAACGCATTTTTTGTCATAACCCGATGGGGAAAAAACTCATTTCCTTTAATGATTCCATCTTGTACGCGCACTGCTAGTGAATTCGTCCAGGATGTGAGTCCTGCTCGCACGCACATGGTTATTTCATTAAAATTGCCTTTTGTTGTTTGTGAATGTTACTTATTATTAACGCTCTGCCATATCATTTGTATCTGTGTATCTGTATCTGCGCCAGTATCTGTATCCGAATCTGGTGTATCTGTGAGCTGCATTTTTATGGGGTCAAAAGACACAACATTTGCATTACTGGTCCGTAGAGTCGACGACCTACAGCTTAATAAAGACTAATTGACTTTCTGACCATAAATGGACTGTGGAGTCTGCCGCAAAAAAATGAAGAGGGCGTGGCCCCGTAGCCGATTGGCAATTAAGACAAGGACAGCGATGGGTTGACAAAACGCGATAAACAAATTAACATTTAAATTAAGGTCTCCGGGGCTCTGAACGCCTCAAAGTGCTGGCACTATATTTGTCACATAGCGACTGACAAATTTCGCAGAGCCCAACATGTCGGACACAATGTGACGAGGTCCTTCAAGTTGCATTCCAAATTTATGCAAATTAAGTCCTGCTGCAATTTGGGTGGGCGTGTCCTTGTTTGGCGGGGACAGTCGCTGCATCTAATTAGCCCAAGTAAATTACAAGACAAAAACGGGTCAGGGAGTTGGGCCAGCTGTCGGCGATTGTTCCAGATTGAGTTAACTAAATTGAATAAGCCTCTTCTGCATTTTCAGACAAAGGACCCTTGCAGTAGTAATCTACTTTGGCAAGCCGCTATTAAGCTGAGGCTTATCCTTTTAAAGAAAACCATTTCTTAATACATTTTTCCTCATCAGAGCAGTGCAGATTTTTGTGGAATGTCTGAATAAATTAACCGAAAAGAAATTAGACCTCTGGGTATCTATAATGATGATTGCTAGACAAACGTCACACCAGGGCAGTATTAGCTGCTCTCGATGATGATTGGGAAGAGGCCATATTGCGCATACGCCCCGTAACTAACCGAAACAGCTAACGAGACACAAGAGAATCGGTAAATAGTTTGTCGTAAATTTGCTGGAAGCGGTTGTCCGCTTAAAGTTGGCTTAACTCATTGGCAGCGGCATCGACAAGCTATTTGTGCCAATGTTAATTGGGTTTGCAGCATCGGGCTTAATAAGGCGAGGCAGCAATTTATTTACGTGCCATTAAAAATGCACATAACAAGCAAATTGCATTTTACATCGTACACTAGTGGGCAGTTCAGAGGGCCGCTGTTTCAGAGGGTGAGTGACTCTTAAGTAAATTACAATAAATTCGGTGAAAACTTGCATATGAAATGCGCAATGTTCGTGCGGTACAAGGACATTCGCTGTCGGCAATAATATAATTAAAAATTAAATGGCAAATTAATTGGTGAAAAATATCAAAAAGACTTTCTACGCAAGCCGGCATTTGTGGCATTTAAAATGCCATTAATATTGCATCAACACCTGCAGTACACACACTCGCTTAAATAAACATGCACAAAAAGCCCGCACACTTTGCATTAAAACGGTCTGGCCAAAAAACTATTGATGAATAATGAACGCGACCTGGAAACAAAGCCAATGCAACCGCAGATACAGCTCCAGTTGGTGCAACTGCAATTGCGTTCCGACACGCAATGCAACACCCAACCAGCAGCATCTGCAACTGCAACACCAGGCGCACTAACTGCTGCTGTTCGACTTGTAAGTGACACGACCTGACTCGTGCTCCGGCCATAAATCAGTGGCCACCAGCCTCGCCTTGTTTACTTTTTAAACAAAACACAAACAAATGGCGTTCGATCATATTTATGGCTTTTACGGCGTGTAAATGCAAAAAATGATTCCGGAATTAAACTCTTAATACGACTGTGAATCAGTAAATGCCCATAATAAACAGAGGCTTAACTATTATTATTAAGAGTGGATCTAAACCTTTATTCTTTGCTAGGTTCAATTTTTAATTGAATTAAAGTCAGAGTAAACAGTGTTAAAACCGAAAATCATTATCATACCTATAATCTGTGTCCTCTTACTTTTAATTCGGTTTAATGCCATTCAGATGACCAATGAAAAAAGAGTAATATAATTACAGCAGATGTTGGGTCTTTTGTTGCCTCACAATTAGGCAAAATAATTAGGTGGCAAACAGCATTCAAGAGCTTTATATCCGCACAGGTCGTGACCGTTTTTTAAATGCAAAATAATTACATTCACGTCTGCATCCTTGCCGCTGGCCTTCCCTATATCTCTTTGCGGTTTTTTATGCTTTCATTTATTTCATAGTTGCCTCGGTAGCCGTGTGGCAGTCGTGTGTCTGCGGCGAAAAGTTTCAGGCATGTTAATAACACTCATAATTAAAAATTAAATGTTATAATTTTATGTGTGCTGCCGAGCGGCTTTATCCATTTGGTTAAAAATTATTTCCCAGCTATGTGGCAACAGACAATTATTCAACCCGACCATACCGCCTCAGATTTTTTTGCCACCCAGACTGCAGTTTTAATGCCTCGCCTTGTGCCTTGTTGAGAGTTACAAGTAAACTTTCGATGGAAGGAGCTGGAAGCAAATATGAATTACAAGGTCCTTGTTTGCCAAGATTCCCAGCGAGTCATGTATTTTTGATGGTCATCAAGCAAAAAGAAAAAGACGACCACCTCCTTGTCTTTATGACTAAAGGAAGAGTTCGCCAAGTGCTGGACAGGCAATAAAAGTTGCGAACTACTTACCAAGTTTTTCTTAATATTTGGACGAAATGAGGAAAAGCAGCAGGCAATGCATAACCCTAAAGTGTTAAAAGCTTTAATGATGTTTTATATTTTATTCAAAATAGATAAAACATATATTTTAAGAACAAAAAAAGCTCGAATTAAAGTTTATCTTCGCTGATTTACAAAAAAATATTTAATTCTTAAGCCGTTTACGTTCAAAAAGAAACTATATTTCTCTGTGAACTCTGTATCGAATTAAAGTAAAATCAATTGGGCCGAGGCCTTAAACTATATTGCGTGGAACTCTCAGCAGGATGTGGGCCTGCGATGCCACTTTGAATAATTATTGGCGCTGTACGGCGGACTCTGCAGAGGCAAAAAGTCAATCAGTGAGAATGCAGCGGGCAATTTAATACAATTTCGAACCAAGGCGCTTATTCAATTAATTACTGGAAACAGTGCGTCAAAAAGCGCCCAAGTAATGCAGAAAAAGCCGAGTAATTATTTTACACTTCGCTACCGCTGTCGCTGGCTGCGATTTCAACCATTTTCCAACCCATTTTCTCCTCGCCCGCCGCCACAGCTGCATTTTTATGAAGTTTTTCCCCGACCCGACCGGTCAGTTGAACTTGCCTTCTCAGTTGCCGTTGGTCATTCCATCTGTCGCCTCGGCATAATATTGTTTACTTTAAGTTTGTTAAATCCATGCCACCCAGTAATGTGACCCACTTTTCAGTGTCCAGTCAGCGGCTGGGGGACTCAAACTCGGACTCAGCAATTATCGTCAGCTGATTGAATGAAATCAAAGCCAAGCCAACACAATCCAGAAGATGGCAATATAAATTCGCATAAATTCACTGGGGCGCTTTAAATGTCAAGTGGCGTGTGTCCATCGATTTTTATGCCTCACTGGCTGCTGGGGTCATTTATCAATATGTAAATTTCCCTGGCAAAGTTCAATGGGTCTCCCCGTGTATGTACACAGAAATTCGTACAGGACCCCTGGCTGTCCCAGTATAAAATGTGTAATTTTTTAACACGCACACACAATTGGAGATAAATTGACTGATGTGCATGTTGTGGGCCGCCATGGTCTGTCCCGCTTTCTGTCTGCCTGTCAGTCTACCGCCCAGTTTGATGTATGTGACTGCCCTGGGAAGGGCCCTTCGGCCCACTCGACTTTCACTTTTCTGCTCTTTGATTTCTCTCCTTCAAATAAATCGACACCCCCAGCCACTTCCGGCGACTGCACTAAAATCCTAGACAAGAGCGTAATGGCATCAATTTCCTGCAGCCAAAATTTAAATTTGACGAGTGCCAGGAGCCATGGCAACCTCGGCATGTCCCCTTCTTAAAATTCTAATTTTAGCTTTGAAATTTGGGTTTCTTGGTTTCAGTATCAGTTTAATCAACTGTACGGACAAGTATTTATGGAAATTTATTTTTATTTTTTTCTGCAGTTCTTGGATTCTTAAGATAAAATATAATAATATTAATCCGATCGAATGCCCTTTTGTTTACCTATCATTAAAAACACAAAACACTGGCTTTAACAATTTTTGTTTATAAAGTTAAATTCTGTTTAAAGTTTAAAGTATCCCTACTATTTGTGTTGCATTGTTACACTGACAATCATTTTTTTTAGGTTTGTTTGATTAACACATTGCCAGAAAGATGAAATTGGACCTCACCCTTAACGACCGTCACAATCTGAGGTTTCAGTCCGTTTATGGTAGTCTGGTACCCCAGATTGCCCGACTGGTGCCCTTTAATGAGTCGGAAGTCACCTGTATCCTGATGATCTACTACAAGTATAGCCTCCAAAATGGACCCACAGCGCGAAGGATAACCAGCTCACAGCTGGTGAATATCGTCATAGGCTTCCAACAGCTCTATGACATGGATGTGGTACATCGCATCGTTACCCTTATCTGCGGAGGTCGGAAACAGGTCACACCAATGGAGTTTGTCAACTACATAACCATCATTATGACCCGTGATATGGAGCAAAAAATGAACTTTGCTTTCATGGTAATACGGATTGGGGGGATTTCAGATATTTGTTTTAGAAAATATCCTAAAATAGACCGAGGTCCTTCTGCTCCTCTGTGAAATCTTAAGATAGGGGTCTTCAATTATTTTCTTACCCATATAATTTATTCGGGTTATTACTTAGGTATACGACAAAAATGGATTGGGCATCAATCGCGAGCTAATTTCAGTGGCGGTCGAGAGGTTTTTCCCTGGGGACGATGACGAAGTTCTTGAGATGCGACTGGTGAGCATTTTCTCAAATTTCTCACCTCTATATTATATGTACAAAAAATATGCCATTTAGGATATGGTCGAGTTTCTACTCCTTAAATTTGATGAAGACCAGGATGGAGTCATCACATATGAGGAGTACAGCAAAGTCGTCCGGCACCAGCCGCACCTGCTCGAGTTTCTCGGCCCCATATTCCCCTCCGACGAGGCGCGTCTGGTGATCGCCTACTGCACGGCCATATACTCCCACATTCCCGATATGAACATATAGGGTGTTTGTGAGGAGTGTGTGTGCCGTGGAGCTGGCAATTCGCCAGGACACCCTTGTCGCATAAATCTTTCAGGCACAAATAAATCGAAAGCAATGCAAATCAGTGCCTCTTGGCACCGCGTTTCCCTCTTCTTGGACTCGGTTCGACTCTGTTCTGGTCTGTTCTGTTCTGTTCTGCCATTGTAGCCACTCGAAAATGTCAATGACAATGATGATGAACTGCAAAATAGAGCGCTGACAGCTGCAACGAGACTTTGGATAGATGAATGGAGGGATATATATAGCCATATATGGGAGACCAGCTGCCTCTCAGCGAGTGGAACTGCCTTTGACTTCGGTGGCATAATTTTAAATATGGAGCACAGCTCCAGAAATACTTTGGCCCGGTTGGATGCTTCACTGGCCCGTCGACTGCCTTTCTCCATTGCCCGATGACAGCTTGATTTGTTGGCAGTTGGCACACAATTGACATTTGATGGATGGTGTTCTACATTGTCGGGACATCCTACACAGCTGCAGTCACGTCCTTCCAATACTCGGTTTGTTCTAATTACTATGAAATAAAATTCACATTTTGTTTATCGAACTGCTTTTGGGTATTTTAATAGAGATATATTGGAAATATTTATAGCTTAATTGTAAATAATTGACAGAGAAAAATATTTTCTTAAGGGAAAAATATATTTTGTTGCAAACAGAAAATAAATAGACATTGATTTAAAAGTACCAGCTTATATTAAAAACAAATGAAACTTTTGTGCATATTTCAAATCTCACAGGAATATACCAATATCAGACAAAAAAGCTCAAAAAAATTCGTAACCCGTATTTGCTGAGATTAATTAGAAAATCCAGAATGACTTGCCAAGCCTGTTGGAAATGCTAATTGAGCTCCTTCTAAAAACGAGGTAATGGATAGAAAAGTGGGCACATTTGCATAACAGAAACACAACGTAACGAGTCAGTGTAACGTGAAACAAAAAAGTAAATAAACAAAAGTCTTGAAATTCTTTGAGAGGAGTCGGACAAAGTTTCAGATTATTCGATTCGTTTATACTCTATCTAGAGAGTTGGTTTCAGAAGACAAATAAATTCAAATCAATTTTTATTGACTTAAATCCAGTTTTTTAATTATTGCTAAACTAAGATAGAAAAATATATGTTTTAAATCAAAACTGATTAGGCCTATTATTATATATAAATCTTTAAGATATTTCAAAGTACCTCTCACTTTTTAATCCACCCCCCAAAAAGGATCATTGCCGCCTAAGAATTTCGAACTTGTAATTATTTATGCAAAAATTGTTGCCAAGCAAACTTAATTTAGTTAAATGTTTGACTTTAGGCAGGCGCTCGTTGATTAACCGAGTGGAACGAGTTCCGACTGCCTTGCCACGCCCTCGGGTATGCAAATAACAATGGGGGCGGAGGGCAGATCCTTCACCCCGTGGAATTCATTTACTTTGTTGTGCCTGGGTGTTTGAGTTTGCCACTCGTACTTGCGTGTAAACATGCATGATTAAGCTTATTAAGAAAGTACAAAAGTCACAAAAATATCTAACTTTTGAGACTCATAAGAGGTTTTCTGCACTTCTTCTATGTCGAGCTTAAATTTTAAATTTTAATAGAAAAGGGAATCGAATATTCTTTCTTGATGCGACATGCCTGATAAAATTTATCCAAAAAACTCCTCGCAGGATAACCAAATTTAAGCACAAATTCGTGGCAGTCAGGTGCGACCTTATATCGACCCGAAAGAGAACCTGTCAGCCAATGCAGTGTCTCGATAATGATGCTGATGATAATGATGCTGCTGCTGGAAAAGCTAAGAAGCAGCCTGTACTGGAGGCGAGCAAGACCGGAAGCTGCACTCAGCGCATTGCATTGCAAAGTGAACTTCACTTACACGGAGTAAATAAATAAAAAGGATGCCCGTACAGAGCTCACAATTTATGGATGCACTTGCCGGGAAAGGGCAACGGCGACGGCAACGGCAATGGCAACGACAATGACAACAATGGCAATGGAAAAGCGGAAAAAATAGAGAATAGTAGGAAAGCCAAACGTAGACAAATGTAAAATAATACGTGACAATAATGCTGCCAATGGCTGTGTTGATTAGGCTGCTATATTTATGGCTCGCCTCGGATCAGCTTGAAACTTCGGAGGGATACTCGCATCCTTCAGTTGGCCGGAAAGGCGGTATGCTGGTGAGGCGGCCAATCGTTGGTAAATTCATTGAGCTGCCGCAAGCTGAAGTTGATCTGCAGCTTTTGTGGCCTAAGTTGCTCTTTGGGCCTAATGAACCGAACCCTGCCACATGTGTGTATAGTGTGTGTGCTTGTGTGCGCCGACTAAGTAAATATTATTTGATGCTGTGTTGAAAGCCATTTCCAGGTGGCAGTGGCCCAGCTAGTGGCGGAAGCCATGGCTGTGCCTCCTCTGTATGTGTTTATGCATAAAATATTTACAAAGTTTCGTGTCTCCGTGTGGCTTTCGCCGAGTCCAATTTGCCCAAATGCAGAAGTAACGTTTCGAGGCGAGCTTGTGTGGCAATTCTCTTTCTTTTCCATCTTTTTGCCTTCTTCCTGTTGCCTCTTATTATTCCAAGTTTATTTAGGAGCCGGATACGGCGAAACGGAGGCTGGGCGAACACCACATCAAAGCATAGCACGTGGCACGCATGAGTGGCAATGGCAAAAACTACAGGAGCAACACAAAACCAACAAAAGCAACAGCAGCAGCAACATCGAGACGAGCCAGCCCCAATTGCATTGCCCCAAGTTGACCACAAAACATGCGCCCGGCTGCGAAAACCAAACCGAACCAAACCAAGCCAAGCCAGGGCAGGCCAAAAAGAAAACATTGCATTCCGAAACGGGCAGAAGGAGATAAAAACTCAGTAAATACACTGGCAGTATTTGCAAAAAGTATTATGGAGAAAAGTCGTTTCAAATTGAAAGGCATTTCTTTCAGTGTAGAGCTGGGCAGTAAATCAACTGCTGACCACTATACGGCTGCAGTTACGTATGTGAATTTGTAATCTAAACTTTTATACTCGTTGACTCGTTGCCTCGTTTTTCCATCAGCTGCGAACAGGAAACGGAAATTGCTGCTGTTGGCCCGTTGACAAAAACACGACACTTGCACCTCAAGTTGCCAGGAACTTTCAACTTGATTTTCCCGGGCAATAGTAACAAACAGCTGCAATAGCAGCAACGACATTATGGGATTGCCAATTGCTTACAGTTGCAGTTACTGTTGCTATTGCTGTCGATGGGCAACTGAATGTGTCCATGATTGTGATTTCAGGTAGGCGATCGAGTTGTTCCCCATCCTGTTTTTGTGGCCATTGATTAAGCGTGGCCGGGTGAGTGAAAGCTATGTCCCCCTATCCCTGTGTACCCTACTCTTTTGGCCACGTTCACTCAATCAAAGCAAACTAAAAGTTTGCTCTACGGTTTTAACCTCAGTTTGCATTCTTTATGAGTGCTTCTGGGATGGTGGTGCTCCTTTTTGTTGCACGCTCTGAATTTTTTTCCACTACCTTTGAATGTTTAATGCAAATTGATTTAGCCGCTTCTGTTTTCAGTTTTTTTCACCAACAGCAATGGAAAGCTTTTGGCAAGTTTTGCTTAAGCGAATTTGCAACAGCTTTAAGTTACAATTAAGCCCGCTGAGAGGGCCGTGCAACTTGTTAACTGATTTTACCTCGACCACACCCACCAGTCTTTGGAGCTACCGGTTAGCAGTTGCCACGTGGCTGCACATTTGCCACGGCACACGAAAATTTTTAACTTAAATTACTTTTCGTAATAACTTTATTTTGTAATTTACGTAAGTAGAAGTAACATTTATGCAGCTGCATAAACTGCCAACGAAAGTAGCTGACAAACTATGACGGCGCACGTAAAAAACTTTTGTGCACCAGAAGCCTTTGCGAAAAATCTTTTGCCTCTTTTTGGGGTGAACCGCGGCAAGCAGCGGCGAAAAGTAGCTGGTCCGGGTGTCGGCCTTGGTCCACAAAGTTAATGCCACTCAGCTAGATAATTTGCATAAGGAAATGGCTACGCTCTTTGATGGTTTTTCACCATCTTTGGCAATCTATATGGACCTGTTTCACTTGCCCCTGAATGAGAAGTAATCTCTATTTCACCTTCTTCTCCTCCCAAACAATTTCCTCTACTTCTCCTTCCAAAAAAAAAAGGTCTCCGGTGGCAAGCTCCTGCCGATGGCATTTTAAATTTTTAATACAGCACTCGCCCGAAGGGAAAATGAAAGAATACTCGGCGATGGAACACGAAACGTTGTTTTTCTTTGGCCTGCGTAATGAGGAAAAGTTTCGCTACATGCAATTTGCTCTTGTTCTCGGTTCTCTGTTCTGTTCTCTGTGTTCTGTGTGATGTTTTTTGCCGGTCTACTTGTCCTTGCAAAATGCCATTTGCATTTGCCAAAAGCACAGCGAAAGCCGCAGAGCCATAACAGCAAGAAGAAAGCAACACACTTACCTCAATAGTCAAACAAAAGTGCGGCATACTTTGTGGCGCTTGGCATGCCAAACATGTGGCTCCCATTCCACTATGGGGTTTTTGACCACTTTATGTGGCATTTAATCATTTTTTGAAAGTTCTCTGATTTAAAAAAAATTAATGGGAATGTATTAAGAAAACATCAAACTATTATGCCTCATACTCAAAATATTAATTATTAGCACCATATGCTAGCATAACAGCTGCAAAGTCAGCTGTTGCATCCGAAAGCACGTGCGCTAAGTTTGCAATTTTCACATAGTGATTTGTGAAATTAGATTATTTGTTTAAAACTCCATTTAAAAAGAAAAATAGTAATGGAAACTGATTTCACAGGTTTGTACTACATGTTAAATGTATTAACTGTTTAAATTGTGCGTGTCTATACTAAAATTTTGTCATTTTATAGATGCACCTTAAGCTGAATTTTGGGAAACAAATTTCAACTTTGGGAAGAGTTTTGAAATAGAAGGACTAGAAAGTTTTCAATGCGTCCAAGTGTATGTTGTAGCGTTGTCAATACTGAGCAAAGGCTGTTAGTTTTATTGTGCACTTTTCTCCACTATTGGTG